GTCCAAGTGACTCTCAGGAGTCTTTCCAACACCATAGTTCAAAAGGATCAATCATTCGGCGCTCAGCTTTCTTTATAGTCCAACTCTCAAGCTGTACATGACTACTGGAAAAGCCACAGCTTGGACTAGACGGATCTTTGTCGGCAAAGTAATGTCTCTGCTTTTTAATATGTCTAGGTTGGTCATAGCTGTTCTTCCAAGAAGGTCTTGTAGGTCATCATAAAATCATTCAACTTCAGCTTGTTTGGCATCAGTGGTTGGGGCATGGATTTGGATTACTGCAATACTGAATGGTCTGCCTTTCAAACAAACAGAAATCATTCTGTCATTTTTGAGATTGCACCCAAATACTGCATTTCAGACTCTTGCATTGACTATGAGAGCTACTCCATTCCTTCTAAGGGATTCTTGCCCACAGTGTATATATAATGGCCATCTGAATTAAATTTGCCCATTCTGGTCCATTTTAGTTCATTGAGTCCTAAAATGTTGTTCACTCTTGCCATCTCCTGTTTGACCACTTCCAATTTATCATGATTTATGGACCTAATAGTGCAGATTCCGATGAAGTATTGTTCTTTACAGCATCAAACTTTACCTCCATCACCAGTCACTTCCACAGCTGCGTGTTGTTTTTGCTTTGGCTCTGTATCTTCATTCTTTCTGGAGCTATTTCTTCAGTCTTCTCCAGTAACATATTGAGTACCTACTGACCTGGGGAGTTCATCTTTCAGTGTCATATCTTTTTGCCTTTCCATATTGTTCATGGGGTTCTCAAGGCAACCACTGAAGTGGTTTGCCATTCCCTTCTCCAGTGGACCACGTTTTTGTCAGAACTCTCCACCATGACCTGTCCATTTTGGGTGGCCCTACACAGCATGGCTCATAGTTTCTTTAAGTTAGACAAGGCTGTGATCCATGTGATCAGTTTGGTTAGTTTTCTCTGATTGTGGTTTTCATTCTTTCTGCCCTCTGATAGATAAGGCTAAGAGGCTTGTGGAAGCTCCCTGATGGGAGGAATCTGGGTCTTCTGCTAATGGGCAGGACCATGCTCAGTATATCTTTAATCCCATTTTTTGTTGATGGGATGGGGCCCATCTCTTGATGGGGTGAGGCCAAACTATGGGATCACCTTCAAAAAGATTTATGCCAGCACTGTTGTATTCAGTGCCTCTGACCCCATGGCAGGCCACTACTGATCCATGCCTCTGCTGCAGATTCTTGAACACTCACAGGCAAGTCTGGCTCAGCCTCTTTTGAGATCACTGCTCCTTTCTCCTGGGCCTTGGTGCGCACAAGGTTTTGTTTTTGCCCTCCAAGAGTCTGTTTCCCCAGTTGTGTGGAAGTTCTATAATCAAATCCCGCTGGCCTCCACAGTCAAATTGCCTGGGGTTTTTCAGTCCCTTTGCTGGATCCCCAGGTTGGGAAATCTGTTGTGGCTCCTAAGACTTTCTTAACAGTGTGAGAACTTCTGTGGTATAATTGTTCTCCAGCCTGTAGGTCATCTGCTCAATGGCTCTATGGTGGGGTTAATGGCGACCTCCTCCCAGACGACTTAGGCCACATGGCATTCTTTCCAGGTCTGCTGCAGCCAGAGAGCCCCTGTCCCCGCAGCAGGCCACTGGGTGGCTGACCCATGCCACCACAGGAGACACTCAAACACTCAAAGGCAGGTCTGGCTCAGTCTTTGTGGGATCTCTGAATCCTGGTGCGCACAAGGTTTTGTTTAACCCTCCGAGCATCTCTGGCGGGTATGGGGTTTTGATTCTAAACAGAATTTTGCCTCTCCTACCATCTTGCTGGGGCTTCTCCTTTGCCTTTGGACATGGGGTATCTTTTTTTGGTGGGGTCCAACATTCTCCTGTTGATGGTTGTTCAGCAGCAAGTCACAATTTTGGAGTTCTCACAGGAGAAGATGAGCACACGTCCTTTTCCGCTGTCAGTGTCCTAGAATTCTTTACCTGGTGGTAAACTCCAAATTCTCTATTCTGTGAAATCCAAGTCTTTTGTATTCTTGCATTTTGGGGATTGGTACAATTTTCCACTGATCAATACAATTGGGAAGAGAAAGTTAAGTGCTGCCCCACTGAGCTTCCAGGGTTCCAGATAGTGTTACCTATTACGTAGAAGCTGCCTTTGTTGTATAGCGAGAAATTGATTTCCTCTTGTCATCAAAATCAGTTACTCTGCTAGTACAATATGTACCTGTTGGTTCAACTGCATGAAAAGCCCCTAAATGCCCAAAAGGTAGTCTCAGCTCCCATTTAATCAGTTTTCTGATAAAAGTTAATACTCCTGCCCCTTTAAGCAGTAGGACCATAAAATCGACTAAGCTTTCATTAATGGGAGGTAAAGAAAATTTTTTTCACGTGAGTTATTTAGTATAACAATGAGATGTACTGCTTTTACTTGTACTTTTTTATTCCTAGACCTGTGTTCTCTGGCTCTGGGGGAGACTGTACAATATATTGGCTACTGATTTAACACTAATAGAGCATTCTTCATTTGACTCTCACAATATTATTTCCAAGTAGATGCCCTAACTGAATCTTCAACAGGGCATTTCTCTGTCTAACCAAGCCAGCTGCTTCTGAATAACAGAGCCTGTAGAGAGAGCGGTGAAATCCATGGCCTTGATCCTATTGCCACACTTCTTTTGCCATACTATATACTTTGGTTGGAGGCAGTGTTGTGATAGATAAGACATTTTGTAAATCTACTAACAGTGGTGCTGCAGAACACTTGAGGCCAAGAAAGAAAGAAAGTATGTGTTTGAAACATCAATCTACCCTTTTGAGGACAAAATACTGTTGATGCCACAGTAGGAAAGGTCCAGTATAATCAATCCCAACTGGTTCTTTTAGGGAATGGTGCTATACTGAAAACTCAGCATTGACTTGTGCTTTGGAGAACTTGAGTACTCACAGTGGCAGTAGCCAGGTTAGCATTTGTATAAGTGAATGACCATGTTGTTGAACTCTTTTTTATTTCCATGCTTGTTACCATAGAATTTTGTTTGTGGACCTATTGAATAAGCACTGGATTGGCCAAGGAAAGAGACTAGCTGGCATCCTCAGAAAGGGTCATCTTGTCCACCTGAATAATGAAAGCTTTCATTAATATCTTCAGATCCTCTGCCCATTCAAAGAGAGCCATTACAATACCTCTTCTCCAGAACTTCTTGTCACTAATTTTACATTTTTTCTTCATATCCCCGGTCATCTGGCAATCTCATTCATCACTTTCCACAAGTCAGTCTATTCTAGATCCAAACCTCTGTCCATTTCTCCTTAAACATGGAATAGGCAACCAAGTTTGAATAGGGTTATTCTTCTGGGATCATCCATTCTGGCTGACACCAGCATCCATTACAGATGTGTTTGTGAACCATGCTCTTTTCTCTCTTGTAGTAAGGAACTCCCCCAAGAAGCCACAGGAGTGGGCTAAGGGAGAGGGGTTAAACCAGGTACTGTGAGCATCTAAACTGCCTGTTTATGAAGTTGACTCGTCCCTCTTGGATCTCTTTAGGCCTGTTCACTTGCATTTTATAGTGAAATGCTGCCGTGTTGCCCAGTGTTATGTTTCAGTCCATCAGTTAATAGCTAGTTCATGATGGGCAGTTCAGGTTGCAGAATCATTTGGTGTCCTGTGGTCAGACATTTGTCTCTACCAGGATTTTGCTTTTAAATGGGGAATTATCTGCGGAGTAGGGTGTGGTCTTTCTAAAAACTATAGAACTGTGTGGTCATTATCTTTCAGGGACTTTCTAGAGGCTTTTAACAACGCCTCTATCATAAACTCTTTGAATACCACTGGGTCTTTTGGGTCATATATCTCATGTGGTTGAGGAACTTGAATTGAGGCCTGGACCTGCAATATAGCCCTTTCTTACTGGGGGCTTTACTGAAAACTGACAGCCTTATAGAGTTACCCTTCAAAAATGGGTCAGTATAGTGTATGGAGCACATTTTCAAATTCCAGAGGCCCACCAAGCTTTGTACTTCTTTGCAGTTGGCATTTCTAGACACAGAATCTTGTCTTCCACTTTAAAGGAAACTCTTAATGGTCAAAACACTACTGGACCCTTAGAAACCTCATTTTTGTGACACATCCCTGAACTTGTTGCCCTTCTTCTACCCCACTTTGCCTTATTCGTGCACTACTCCTACCTGTTACTTGTCAGCAAATCCAGTTAACATAACAGCCCCAATGTCATTGACCAGCATGGTATTCTTTGAAATAGTAAGATGATCAAGTGCTCTCCAGACTAATGAGGACAGAGAGCAGTAAAATTGATAGATCCCTGGGATGAGACAGTTAAGATATTCTGTTGCCCATGTAATTTAAATGCAAATGGCGGTAGCTAGAGACTGTCACGTCAACTGTGTTCCCTGCAGTAGTGCTATGGAGATGTGCTAGGAGGCTTTGTGATCCCTTTGAGCCCTGCGGAGAAGGACTCAGGCTAATGTTTCATCAGGCTAAGTCCCCATTCTGACTGGTGACTCACATTGGAGTTTCAGAACTACAGGATCCTTCAGGGTCATTATCTAATAACTCCCCAGAATATCTCAATAATTCCCATTCTTTAGTGAATGGGCTCTCCCACATGAATATCTCTTCCAAAATTGCTTGGGGAAATTTTTATAGTATATACCTGTGGCCATATTAAAGGACCTTCCTTATTCTGTGCTGTTTCCAGAATGACAAATATCTGAGTTTGTTTTTATTCATCAACTTTATTAAATAATTTTAGTCAATGACCTGCATAGACATTATATTTAAAAATTCAATATAAAAATAAATACTTTAGGATAAATAATTTAACTGAATTTTTTAGAGCCCGTAGGGCTTACATAAAGAATCTTAAAAGATCCATATTTATCATCTTAAGACTAATAGTTACAAAAGGTAGAAAAACATATATCAAAAAATAAATATAAATTTTAAATATTTAAATAAATAGAAAGCCTGGTACGTTTAAAATGAGAGGCACTTAGTTATCAAGTCATTGTTGAGTAGATCCTTTGACAAAAGATAATCCATTTGTTCAGAAATTCTACAGCCTTTACTGTTGTCGCATCATATTCACATTTGAAACTTTTTTCAGATCCCTATAAAAGAAAACAATTTTGTTTTAGTTCAAAGTAGTTTACCTTATATATAATTATTTTCAGTTCAAGTCTTATAGAGTTATGGCCTTTATTTTCAAGTATATTAAACATATTAACATTCACATTTTCTTCAAATGACCAAAATTATGTGCCTAAATTAGTGTATGTTATGATATCCACATAGTGACATACAAGCTGTAATTTAACTTGTGCTTTTTATTTAGGATGTCTATTAATTAATGAATTTTGTACTTTGACAGATGGATGAGGAAAGAGAGCCATGAATCTCTCACATCACCCAAGTTCCTTGTATATTTCATGCTTCTATGCGTTTAAAATTCTTAAGGTCCTGAAAGTGAGTATTACCTCTAAATAAAAAGTTAATTATCTGGTCCATTGGCCATTTTACTGGTTGCCATTTTTTTAGACAAATCTCTTAGTTCTTCTACCAAATGATAGGAAAACCCCATTTAAAAAGTAATTTGGGTAATCAGAATTAGCTATTCTGGAAGATGATCTGAAAACATTAAAAAATACAGTAGGTTCCCTACATTCAAATGAGTTCTGTTCCAAGAGCGGGTTTGTAAGTTGAATTTTGTTTGTAAGTCCTATAGAGTTAGCCTAGGTACCCAACTTAACACAGTCAGCTATATCCTGCTGCTTTTACACTTGCTTCTAGACATCTTGGGCTTGAAACAAGATACCCACTACTACTGTACTCTATCCAGCACTGTACAATAAAGTACACAAAGCACAGTCACTTGTAGAGGATGCAGGCAAGTGACAATGTATGCCAGACACGTGTACTAACTTTTGTGATTGGACATGTGAATGCAAATTCACATCTTTGAAAGTCCACAACTTAAAGGTTCATATGTAGAGGGCTTACTGTATATAATGACACCTGTCTCCTTTCTTTGAAATTCAATTCAGTGTCTTCTGCCAATCCCAGTTTTGTGTTAATGTGAGGGGTGACAGAGTGCGTTGGTAGGGGCTTGTCCCTGAGTGGATGGTGGATGGAAGCCCTCTAGCTTACACTTCCCAGATCCACAATGTGTCATCTAATATAAAAATGACTTATATTCATAATGGACTTTAAATGCGTGAGTACTTCACAAATACCAAATGTTATACAATGTTAAAATGCCCTTCCATTTATTTTATTTCCAGAACAAGTACAGTAATATTTTACCTGTAGTTCCAAAACTATTCTCTTGATATTGTCCATTAAATCCTTGATCTCATCCATTGAATCCTTGATCTCTTTGGGGTTCAGGTTTTTGCTTGGAGATAAATTTAGCACTTCCTCTAGAAGTTTGAGTTCTTCTAGTAGACAGTTAAGATGTTTCAATTCTGTAGCCTGGGGTAGTAGTAAAAGTAATTATCAGATCAATTTGCCCTGACTAAAGGTCAGAATCAGAAATTAATATCAAAATTTATTTTACTAATAGAGACAGTATATAGTTTGTACCAATTCTCTCTGTTTCTCAGCATTACTATAAAGATGGATCAATATAATTTACATTATAAGACTGAAAAATTGGAGTTTAGCTGCACATAGTTAGCATTAACTGTTAGTTAACAAATAATGAGGCGTTAATTTCAGCTTAATTTGGCTTTGCAAAAAAGGCAACATTTCTGCACCCAAGTGCAAATTACCAATATAGGTTGAATTCTTTTCTAGTCTGCATAGAAATTATTAGATCCAAGAGTAGTCATAATGTGGAAGTGTAGGTTCACATTCTATGATTCTAATATTTAATAATGTAAGAGTTATGAATCATAGAATGTTAGGGACAGAGGGAGCTCTTGAATGCAATCTGTCACAATCGCAACATTTTATAGATTAGTTAATTGTAACTACTTAGTAATAGCTTGATATAGCAAGGCCCATAAAACTGCATCTTAATTTTTTATTTTTCTATAATAAGTATAGTAAGATGCATTGTTAAACATAACATCTCAATCAAATAAAAGCTTACAGTATTTGAAGGATTTTTAATAGGCTCCCTGATTTAGACATGTACACACACAAGCACACACATGTACATACTCATATCTAATGATAATATTTCTTATTTCTATGGTATATTATAATTTCAAAGTGTTTTGTCCTGAATAAGTCCATTTATGTCTCACAGCCACCTTTTGATATATGTAATACACTGTGTTATCACCATGTTACAAATAAGGAAACTAAATCTCAGAATTTTAAGTGTCTTCCCCAAGGCCACATGACCAGGTGGTGTGTATGTGGGTGTATGCTCAGTTACATCTGACTCTTTGTGACCCTATGGACCATAGCCCACCAGGCTCCTCTGCCGTGGGATTATCCAGGCAAGAATACTGACTAGGTGGAGTCAGAATTAGATGTCAGTTCTTTTTCTTTATAGCATTATCATAACAGCCTTTGAATTAAATGTTTTTGTACCTCTCTAAATTCTTTTGCAAACATTAGCTGTAAAATGGACAAATGAATGGAGTTTATCACATTACTTTTAGTTTCAAGTAGATTTTGTGTTGTCATTTAAAAACTGTTAAATTTCAAAGAGTTCTACCACCCTGCACATAATCTTTTGTTATCTCACTTTTAGAGAGAGAGGTAGGAATACACCACATACATCTTATGACATTTTCATCTAATGCCCTTTCAACTTGGCTACTATAAATTAACAAGTTTAAGGCTTAAGTTTTTGACATGAACTTGGAACTCTTTCCCTCAAAAAAGTCTAGTGTCTTTATGTTACTGGAAATAAGAGTTACGTGACTCTGATTAAGTTGGAGGAGCATCTCTAAGTTATTTCCTTTTCATCTTTTAAAAGGGTAGTTTGAAAAAAGCGTGAAGAAAGTGAAAGTGTTAGTCACTCAGTCATGTCTCTCTGCGACCCCATGGACCTTAGCCCGTCAGGCCCCAGTGTCCATGGGATTCTCCAGGCAAGAATAACTGGAGTGGGTTGCCATGCCTAGCCCTAACCCTAACTCTAATTGAGACCCTAGGGATCTTCCTGACCCAGGGATTGAACCTAGATCTCCTGCATTGCAGGCAGATTCTTTACCTTCTGAGCCATCAGGGAAGTCTCAAAGGGTAGTTTGATATCTAATTTCCTCAAAGTTGTAAGAGGCTGATCAGTGGAAATGCATCCATGACCGTTAAAACACCATTCTCTTATGGGCTATTCACCTGAGGACAAGCTCTTTCTAGAATTAGAGTTTTGCCCATTACCTTTTGACTGGCATAACAACTAGGAAACTTGACACACCTAATATATCTCTAGGAGCCTGGATGATGCTTATCTAACAGTCTGAATCCCCAGACAACCAAATGGAACCTTTAGTCTTGGAATATAAGTCAGATAGCATCAGGAGTCTCTAGGTTTATTGACATAAAAGATGTGTAAGTTGCAATTTTTACTCTATACTCTCCAGGAAGAATTTTGTCTTTATTATTACTTCTAATAGTTCTTATATGGCATTTCCCATATGCCAGTTACTATTCTGAGTATTTTACATTTATTCATTAATTCTCACAAAACTGTATGAAGTATATACAATTATCATTCACATAAGAGACTGTCACAAAGAGAATAGGTAACTTGCTCAAGGTTACAAAAGCTTGGACATGGCAGAGCTGGTTAAATAATCTGGCAGGTTAAATAATCTGCCCTAGGATCTGTGCTATGGATTAGTGCTATACTGCCTCTTGAAGGAAGATCCTTAAGAATCCTTCCTAAAACAATAAAGGATTTTTTCAGATGGGCCCTCTGAAATCAGTTTAGCTAATTTGAATGGTAAAGTGATATGCTCAAGTATCTCCAGAGTTTTATATTTTTAAATAAAACAGTAAGTCAGCACAATCTTTTTAAAAATTATCCCAGCAATAAAGTGAGAATGTTATTCCTTTTTTCCCATTTCCTTTACCCCAAAATATACATAAGTATATATTTTTTAAAAACTGCAAAGCCATTTTTCAGAAGCCCATTATCAAACTTGAGATTCTTTTTAAAAAGATACTGAAGTTACTATTTCTTCTCCTCAGATGAGGTGCTATTAATCCAGTTAGTGTGTAAATTTTCACATTACTTTCAGTTTTATTAAAATTAAATTGAACATAGAAAGTTGTACTTACATTAACCTTGGGCATGAAAAAGTTAAATGTATGCATCTTGGAGAGCTTGAGGTTCTCGGGATTCTGAGAAAGCATAACAGATTGTTATTTCAAAAACAGACTCCAGGTAGAAAAATTAAATGTAATAATTTGAGTAAGAAAGAGAATAAACTTACTTCAACTTTCTCCAAAAGCAACTGTAAATCCAGCAGCAATGACTTCACTTCTTTCATTGTGTTCCCCGTAGAGCTTGAAGTAGGTGCACCGTTTGCAACGAGTGCAAGTGTTAGTGCAATGCAAGACAAGAGTTGTAGCTTGTACATTGTGGCAGGAGTTGAGGTTACTGTGAGTAGTGATTAGAGAGGCAGATAGGAAGCTCTAGAACAAGAGAAGCAATTTATACTTTTAATTCTGGAAAAATATGATGGGGGTGTCAAAATGTTTTACATATTACACATACTTTCAAAGATTCTACCTGTGTGGCAAAAAGCATTACCTTTATTTTTCCTCTTCTGATGACTCTTTGGAATTTCTTTAAACCCCCATAAACTGACTGAATGGATGTAGGTGAAATCCCTCTTGGTTACATTAGCCCACACTTAGGTGGCAGTTCTAATTCATACAACTAACGCCTTCTGTATGAAACAGTTTTTCCTCCCTCTTTCTTTAAGGGGGTGGGGATACAAAAATGGCTCATGAAAAATTTCTCTTTGTCATAAAACTGTGTGGAACATGTGGAGCACCATGTTGTGGTGGACAGGAACAAGAGTAAATAGTTGAAAAGAATAAATTTTTAGATTTGTTGATTAAACAGGAAGAATATTGGTTTCCTGTTCCAGAATGGCTTTACCTTTTTATCTCCACGATGACTGAGCTAATGCATACAATGTGATAGATTACTTCTTACACAATCAGCTAGAGAGGTATTAAAATTAGAATACATAAAATACTCACTGAGTTTGGGGCACTGTTTTATGCTATTTTAATTTTAATGTGTTTCTTGTATCTGTTTACATCTCTTAATGTCTGTTGTACTTTTTTTTAATAGTGTGGTGTTTAACAAACAAGTACTCAGAAAAGGATTTGCATACAAGAGTATTACTGCTGCTAGGTGTGTGTGGGGGGGGGGGGGGATTAGTCATTTTTTTTTACAAATTTGTTTTTGCTCCTTTATTATTTTTTATGGGCATTAAGGGAATATAATGAGAGTTGGAATGTTGCCAGAATCAAGGATGCTTTTTCTTCCTCTCAGTCTCTCAGGGGCCATCTGAGCTATATTAGTCTTTCTCCCTCTTCATACCCATTTCATTTCTTTCTATCTGTTGAACAGATTACTTGTATTTCTTTAAATATAAGAAAGAAAATGAGCATAACAATAGGAATCCCCAGGCTTGTTTATAGGAAGCTTACTAACTGGAATTTATGGATACCATTTATTTATTCTTTAGGAGAAAGATAATATGGCTAGCTTGAGGTGTACCAGTACTGGCCTAATTATTGTGGCTGGGAGTGAGAAAGGCAGGGTAATAAGCAGTCCAGAAGGCCATGATGAGCCATGGAATGTGTATGCGTGTATGTGTGTGTGTCTTGTGGATTGAGAGCAGTTCTCAGAGTAGGGGTATTTGGGCTCAGTTACTCCAACATAACTTACAATATAGACGCCAGAACTCTAGCAATAAAAGTTACTAAGAGGGGGTATTCATTACAATTCTTGGAGCACCTTTATGAAAAAATAAAGTACTACAAAAAAACTTGTGATTAACAACACTCACTGAGTTTACATTCAAGGGTATTGATGCTAGTTTTATAGCAGACTTTATATGTGCCGTGTATAAGGGCTTCTCTGATGGTTCAGCGGTGAAGAATCCATCTTCAGTGCAGAAGATGCAGGTTCAATACATGGGTCAGGAAGACCCCCAGGAGCAGGAAATGTCAACCCACTCCAGTATTCTTGCCTGAAAAATTCCATGGACTGAGGAGCCTGGCAGGGTACACTCCATGGGTCACAAAGAGTCAGACATGACTAAACATGAAAGCGTTCAAAGAGTGCCATGTATAAACCAATCCATAAGTTTCCAGTTTTTATGTTTTCACTCTTTAATAAATTTAGATTTAGCCTCTAAAGCACCTGTGACACTGAGTGTAACAATAATAGTTATAAAATAATACCAGATCAATATTTTTTAGTCATTAGATCAGGTAGGATACTTGGGATTATGTTCATTTGCGCTCAGTACAATGCACTAACTGCCTGAATGATGGTATAGATATATACTTCTAATTTAAACTGGGAAAAATTGAGGAAATAGTTTTTAAGCCATTTCTTAGAACTTCCCCATTTTTACTACATTATTTATTTTTGTCTATTCTGTAAACATATTTCTCTAACTCCTATGATACTTTCAGGTATATAGAAAGAAAAAAAGTATGCACAGATACATGATTTAGTTTAAGCCTTCCCTGTGAAGTGATGGTACCATTCTGTAGATTAGAAAGTTGAACATCAAAGAAGTTAAATAATTTGTTCTAAGTTATTTAGCCCTTACTTCCAGTTTAAGACAGAACAAGGATTTGAAATCAGAATATTCTTACTCCAGAGTCCACACTCTTATCATTTATATTCTTTCTCAAAGAAACATGTGTAGTAGAAAAGTCATAGGTAGACAAGTGTAATCCCAGATAAGAGAAGATTACTGCCTTGAGAAAGGTGGATATAAACAATTTTGAAGAAGCAACATGACTTTAAAATGAATTTTGACAACCCAGTTAAAATGTAAATATGTAAATTTAAGGTTAAGTTGAGGGTGGGTAGGCAGGGTGAGCATAATTTTTACTTTTTTTTTTCCTTTGGTCACACCACAGGGTATGTGGCATCTTAGTTCCCTGATTACGGAATAAACCAGTGCCTCCCTTAGTGGAAGTGCAGAGTCTTAACCAATGGACCACCAGGGAAGTCCAGGTTACATGTTCTAAGGAATGCAATTGTACTAAAGAAGAACAGAGAAAAATGGTTCAGTACTTTTTAGCTACACATTAGACAATATTCTGAAGAATATGAAACATCTTCCTAAAATTTAAAAACAAGCATTACAGTTCCTAAAGAGGAAAAAGAAATAAAGAAAAAGTCAGATTAGAGGCAAATAACTTTTTCTTTTAGAAAAGATTAGAGACAAATGATCATGCTCTTTTCCTTATTTTTTTTTTCCACTAAAAACTGCATAATCTCTCTCTGTACCTTTCAAATCAAAACCACAAATTTAGCATTAGTTCTAAGGGAAAGGCTATTTGGTAATCTGTGTGTCAACTATTATACCTGTTTCATTTCTTTAAAGACTGAGTGTCTCCTCCAGCATCATCAGCTCAGGCTTTTACCCTTCCAGAGTGGAAGGATTGACACCCACATGTTTTTCTGTGTGGGGGCTTTTCCAGCAAAGCCTTTGATGTTCTCAGAGTCTTGATATTTGTATTTCTCCAGCTATTTCCATTAGAGAATAGGTCAGTGTATGGCTGAATTGATAGGACCCTATAGAAAATTGAATTCCTAAGCCCCTGCCTTGTCCTTATTATTGTGTAAGAAGCATCATTATAGAAGCTTGGGGAGAAAGCTACAGCAAACATACACTGTGGCAAACTTTCACTTTTTAACATGTCTGACACATCAGCTGGTTTCTCTGGCTATAGCAGTAATAGAATCAGTAGTGGACTGCTAACTACCACGTGTCACACTCCCTATTTCCCCTGTGAAAATAAATTTTACTATCAATAAGCAGCTATTTTAGTTGCTTGGTGTTGTTTGTGAGTCTGTCTCAGAGTCAGGAATAGCCCAAGTCCCTAAAGCTGTCTCCCAAAGAAGTTGGTCAGTCAGTTGCATAATTGTCCAGCCATGACTTTCAAGAACTCTGTCTCATGCAAGAATTTCTTCTTTCTGAGCTTTTTTCACAGCTTTGTAAAACTTTAATTTGGTCTGGAACTTGATGCCTGTATTAATGTATGTCTTGTTGGTTTCTCTAAAGGTCTCTTGACTTTTCAAGATGTAGTTCTCTCCCTTTAAAGTTAGAATATACTGTTGGATAAGCTCCATACCACCTAGAGAGATTTTTGCTAGGAACTCTGTTTCCTATGAAAACCCAGATTTCCTCAGGCATAGGATGGTGACCATTCTTTGTCTTTACTCAACCTGTGATCCTCCAAAATGTGATACCGCTTCTGTAAATATGTCTGTGAATCACAATTAAGTCTTATTTGCATGGGGTGTTCCGAGTGGTAAATTTTAATGATGTTCACAACCTTTTGGAAGAATTATTTCTTTGATACTTTTATTTTGCAAAGTATATTCAAATTGATTATTTTATTGAGTCACATTCTGCTGATAAGAAATTTGAGATTTGTAGAGGTTGACTTGCCCAAGACCACATTCTTAAATTAGTGGTGAAGTTAGAGCAAAAGTCAAGGCTTCCTTGTCTCTAATTTCATGTATTTCCCATGTTAAACAGTGATGCCAAATTCTAGGTCCATGATGCTGCATAGAAAAAGCTGGATTAAATTGTGCCCATTTTTCATCTCACTTATTCTCTCAGTGATAGCTGATAAGTCAAGTGAGGCATCATCCACCATCCAGCTTCACTTAAGCAACACCTTGTCTAAGCAGCTTTGGGATTTCTAAGAATTTAGAGCAGCTGAATTCATATAGTAGCTATATGAATTCATGAATTTGCGCATGTCTTTTAATCTCTTTCTGGGGTCTTTTAAAAACACTAGAGTATTTGATGTTTCCTAACACTTCTCCCATGTTTAAAGTGAGAAAATGATTGTGTCCAATGTGGATTTAAACTGCATTGTCCTTTTAGGAGTGCAGTGTCCAAGGTTGATATGAAGGTATAACACACAAGGCAATTGCATTTGTCAACTAAGAGACAGCTCACACTTAAATGTAATGAGAATGGGAGTATCTTCAAAACCTTTTTTGGAAATTTACTTTTTGTGTAAATATCTGACTGCTATGACAAATCACACAACGATTACTAGGGGTAGAACATGATAGTCTTCTGATGGTAATAGATCTGTAAAGCACTTCAAATTCATAAAAGTACTTTCATATCCATTTATCTCATTTCACAGCAAAAAAAAAATGTGAAGGAAAGAAATTTTCCGGTTGTATGTATTTCACGAAGACCTTTATTTTCTTCATACATTAAGAATTAAGCCTTGCAACTTATAAATAAATACTAACTTTCTCCTCTGTGGAAGTAAATGCCTTCATTAAAATCATTGTAAAAATAAAGTTATTATTTATGTTTAAGTTCTCTACTAACCATTAGTTCTT